ATATATATATATAATAAATACCTAATTCATCATGATCAAATAAAGTAGTCAAATTAATTAGTTGTAATTAATAATATCATAAGTTAAAATTTTATTCCAAAAACATACATAGAATTAAATAGTATAGGTGATAATTATATTTAAAGACATTATTCTTGAGTTAAGGAATACTTCTTCTTTTTTTCAATTAATAAGTATGTCTTATAGTGTTAGTTATCCAATAAATGCATTCACTTTCATCAAAAATAAATAGAAGACTCATTAACAAACTCATAATAAATGAAGGATATCAAAGATAATTACCGATTGATACTATCAAAAGTAGACTCATATTTCTTATAATTAGGATTAAATTAAGACTTATTTATTTCTTTTATATAAAAATATATATTGTATTAAATAAAAGTACTTTAGAGAGAAGTGTTAAACTAGTACCTTATTTCTAGAAAATTTTAGATTAATAAATAACTCAGTTTTTTACAATGTTAACTTAATTATGAAGAGATTGTAGCTATAAATTAATTTTTAGAAATTGTTTATGTTAGTGATAGTGGCTATAGACAAACAATTAGAAATAATCTTTGAATGAGAAAACTAAGAAATAAAATTTTGAAAATCATTACACATTACCCTATTAGAACTATATTAATCCTTAAATTTCAAATGATCACTTGTTGTTGCAATTAAATAAATAATCCTCCCAAAATATTTCAAAACTTGCAAGTCTAATGAAGAGTCAATTTTGAGGTTTTCAGTGTCTTAGACGAAGTGAGAAAATGATGCCTCATAATTATCTAAATATTACTTATGACCTTAGTTCGCAAATCTATAAGTGTTAGAGTATCTTTGGATACAAACTTAGAAACATTTTTTAGAGTTCTTTTACTAGAAAATATTCTTTATTTTCAATAAAGAAACTTTTAGAAGTGTTTCAAACTTGTATACAAACAAACTTTAAAACACACAAACAATTAAACAAGTAATTGCTAAAAAAAATGAATAAATGAAGAGTAAATTTGTACGAGACTATGAGTCATCTTTAAAAACTATTACACATGGATCAATTAATAATGGTGATACATCACAAAGAAGCTTGTGATGAACAGGTGGAGGTTCATGATTTAATTTCAATATTATAAGATAGGTCACAAATTAAAAAAAGAAAAAAAATTAAATAAATTAGATATGAAAAACAAGAAAGTTAAAAACAATCCTTATTTTTTATTTTACATAAAAATTTATGGAATTTCAAATCAAGAGAGAAAAAAAAAATAGAAGAAATAAGTCAATAGTATATCACATTTTTTAGAATTAATATTACTTATTTGTTTTCCTAAGATTAAGGCTAGATTTTTTGGCTAGTAGAAAAAATAATTATTGATTAATTATTCACAATTAATTTATTTTTTGTAATACATTTTTATATAATTTAATTATTTTATTTATTTATTTTATATTATATAGAGTAAATAACATTTTTTTTTGTGTTTTCCAACAATGGAGTCTAGGGCAATCGCCCCACTAGCCCATTGCTCAACGCCATCATAGATCTAATGTAAATACCTTAAAACCTTGTGAGGGTCAAATATAATAAGTAATTTCAATTTTGGTAATATCTAACCTATCTCAATTGCATATTAAAAAAGGTGCGTTTAATCCATATAAGCATTAGTAGTCCTCTACTTATAAGTTAGTTTGTGAGGTTGAATTAAGTCTTAAGTTTAAGTTCTAACACAATATCAAAGTCTAATTATAAAACATGTTTCAATAGGATCCAAGATTTCTTGTAGAGAATTCTTACTCTAAGTGTTATACCTAGAATATACAATAAGGTGATAAATGATTTACTTGATATCTAATTGGACAAAATTTGTAAGTTAAAAAATATGCATAAAGAACTTATGTGGAACTTATAAATGAATGATTCATTTTATCTCCTAGATCAACATAAACTTTTTTTTCTTGTTGTTGGGTAAGATAACTGTCATGTTAGATCAAACAATTTTAGTTTCTTAACTACAAAAGTCACACAATATTTGCACTGATGATATAAAGTAGTGCTAAAGGTGATGATTGTGGTAGAATCATCTTCTATTAACTTAACTTTATTGAATTGGTCAGATTTGAGAGCTCAAAATTACTAAAATAATTGGATTAAAAAGAATTCAGTATCTTACATCATCAATAGTCTTCTAACACTAGGATTTATTACAGAAAAATTAAGTAAAAGAGTAAGAATTTAATGTGTGTCACATTGAAATTAAAAACATGACCTATCTCTTACTTTATAAGTCAATTTTTTCAAATTGAATTAAACTCTAAGACCAAATTCTAACACATCCAAAAATTATAAGCCGGTGAAATTATTTGTTTAAATGTCCTAGTACTAGAAAATTCATCAAAATCTTTAAGAATAGTATTTGCAAATGCTAACATGGAAATTTTTTTTATGCTAATGCAAAGTGGATCCATGCAAAAATAAATTGTATTTATGTCTCTAATTTGACATTACTTATAAGGGTTTACTTTTGAAAATAAATGAATTACCGGCGCCTTTTTAACTTTTCTATTGAATAAAATTGATATTAATATAAGATGTAGAAAATATATGAATATGAGTATATATATATATATATATATATATATACTTTAAAAATGATTTTATTTCATCATCCAAATAAAATCAATTATTATAAGATCACTTTTTCAAATATCATGTGTGAAGCTTAGCTTTCTAACATTGCTTTTAACATTAATTTTTTGAAATAAAAAAATATAAACGTAATGGATCTTAAGTATTAAGAAATTACATTTAAACATATATAAATGGTAGGATTTTCAAATCAAGGCATCACAAATTTGAAATTGTTATAAAAATGCTAGAGCTTGCTTTATGTAAAAGAGTAATAGTTAATTATCGTTAATTGCTTGCCTGGAGAGTTGAACAGAGCCAATAACTTGCTTCCCGTGACGTTTAGGCATTCTGGTTTGGGATTGATAATTATATGTTTGTGTATGCCTGCAATGAGAAAATAATTTAGATTGATATATTGTCATATTCAAAATAATGGTAAGTAAAAATAAAATATTTTGAGCCAATGACTTCATATCTACGAGACATTTGTGACTTAGAGGTAAAAGATTTGTTTGTTAATGCGAAACTAAGGCAAGTGATAATTAAGTTGCAATGCATTTTTATATTCAAAATTTGAATCCCAAAACTTGGTCTTAATAATTGGATTAAATATTAAATTTATTGTGATTTAAGTTATATATTTAAAGTAATTATCATTAAAAACTTAAGTTGAAAGGAAGAATACTCGAAATCAACATGTTTGATGATCATAAGGATTTAGTGACATTGTAGCAATACAAGAATTAGGTTGGTGTGAATATGCTTAGCATAAAATAATACAGAATTTCTTAGCATGTTAGCTTAAACTTGTTGATTTGCTCAATGTGATAAAAAAAAATGTAGCATATTTAATTTAATAAAAGAATTCAACATGTACTAGAATACCTAGAATTAATTTAGTAAATACGAAATTACATTAAAAGTTAAGAATGAAAATTAAAATTCATCCACGAGTACCAAGGTGCGAATTGTTTTTATGTATTAAAGTAGTATATTGTGAAGTAAACCTAAAAATAAAGGTTTATACATGGATTACTTATTTATTTATTAAACACTAACATATTGTATTACATATAAGTAGAGGAATCATACTGTATGTAATTAGAATTGTATTGTGAACCATTAACATCAACGACAGAAAATTGGTTGTGTTGGGACCTACAATTCAGAAAACACACTCAAATAAATGTCATTATTACCAACATTAAGAGCCCACAAACATATAATTATTATAAAAGAGATGCATTAGAGTTAACCATGCTTTCTGAGAGTTAACCATTGTTCAAAAGTACGATAAAGTCATCACCCTAGACTTCTGGTATATTTAATTTAAGAAAACATTAGAGATTTTATTAAGTGTGAAACCCTTATCCAAAAAAATAGATGTGTTAAGATGGACTTCTAATAAACAATATCTTATAAGATGAACTTATAGTATACATATCCTATATATAAATACACCTTTACATGATTTTAGTCTTTAAAAAAATCATTAAACTAAACCTTTTTTGGTTAGCCAACGAAACTTAATCTTAATATTTTAAAAATTGTTTAAAATAATTCTATCATCGTGTGACATACAAAAACTTATCTCGTGCATGGCTTTAAATTATAGTCAAGTTGTAATTATGATTGCAATGGACTTTTAAATTTTCTATAATTACATTGTGATCACAATTGTAATTGCATCTTTTTATTATGCTTCAAAGAATTCAAGTTTTTGAGGTTTTAATAAATACAACCACAATTATATCAACAATTTCATGAAGATGGAATGACTATCAATAAAGTCATATATAGTTAGTGTTAGGAGATGTTTACATGTTGTTATGCAATTGTGCCATATCTATTCAAAAACAGATCTGTATACATTACATTATATGACATGTTAATGAAGTCTGGTAATTATATATCTTATTAGTGTGAGTTTTCTATAAACATTTTTCTTCTCAAGAAACTTGAAAAGTAAGATGATGAGCAACGTGATCCCTCACAAAAGAAGCAACTTCCAAACAAATTTTAAATCATCTATCTCATTTGAATATCTCATATCATGTTTCACTAATAAAAACTTAACACAGTGAATTAAAAATAAAAACTACACATTTTTTTACTTTTATTTTTACATATATTTGACAATTATGTTGTTACCTTTATTTTATTTTAAAAAAATTATCAATTATCTTTTCCTTATATACTAATAAAAACTATTTATTATCTTTTTTTTAAGCGTTAAATAATCTACATATTGCACTTCAAGAGTCTCATTCAAAGAAATAAGCAAAACAAGATTTGAGTGTGAATACAAATTATTTAAAGATAAAATTTAGATACAATTTATTATTTGTAGTTGGTATTGTTCTTCAATCAAAATTGGAGGTATATCTTAATAATATGTATATGCATTTAATGCAGATATTATAAATATACATTATGCATTTTATCAAAATAAACATCCAATTTTAATTACAGAAAAACACTAACCACATTTAAAAAATTGGAGAAAAGTTTTTTCCTTTAATTAACTTCCTAGCTAGATGAAAACAATGATGTTTCTTGTAAGCCACAACAACTGTGCAGGCTATCCTTAAATTCTCAAGATAAAGGCAACGTAAATGCTTCGTATATTTATTTAATTATTGGCACGGTGATATGAATTGTAGAGCCACATATTTATATAGAATAGTGATAATCATGCAATTGATTATATCTTTCTCTACCAAGAATTGTGAATGCAATTTATAAAAATGAATTAATGAAAATATTTTGTCCAAAATAATTTTTTTTATCTACTTTAAAAAGTTCTACATGATTATATGATCTAGTTTTTTTTTTCGTTGATTACGTAGTGCGTAAAAAATGAAACGGGTGATTTAAATCTCTTGTATTCTGGAGTGAATCCTATATGTATTTGGCATTCCATTAACCAATTTGTATTCTCCAATTAGGAGCGGGAACCAAATAGATTTATGAATCATATATGAACCAGAATGGAATTCAATGGAAGAGAAATAGTTATTTATTTCTTCATTTTTTTTTATTTTAAAAAATTATACTATAAAAATTAAAATAATAAATAAATTTATGTTAAAAATATATTAGAAAAAATATTTTTTAATTAATATAAAATATATTTTTTATATAATTCATTTATTTTTCTGTTTTTTTTCTATTCATCTAAACAAATCAACATAAATTGTTTGACCTTCTTCCTACTTATTTCTAGAGTTATTAAAGTGGGTTATGACTCATGAGTTAACTTGACCTACCTTGAAAATGGATCAAATTGGATAAATAAATAAAAACAAGAACTCCGTAATTAGTCAAAAAATTCAACTCAGTCCACTTTTAACCTGATCCACCTGTGGTGAATCGAATTGTTTACCTAATTCACTTACACTTTTCATTAGTTAATCAACTCAATCACTAAAGATTCACTTAACCATTTATTGTTATATATGTATTTTTTTTTTATTTTAAAAAAAGTATCATTTCTTTGTATAGATAAAGATAAATTTGATGTTAAATAATATAAAATTGCTAAAGATTTATCTATTCAATTTTCAAATGAAGTTTAATATTGATGGACAATCACTTTAATGACAATAATTTTTTATTTTATTTTTTTGTTTTGTATTTAAAGTTGTACACTTTTTTAATTAAGTTTAATATTGTATGCATAATACTTAATTTGATAATTTTTATTTTAGATTGGATGATATTTTAAATTGAATTTTATTTTAAATTGAGATTTAAAAAAAAAATTAGGTGGGTTGGTCATGCTAAAAAATTTGAAGTACTAACTTAAATGGATTGGGTCACGCCAATATACTTATAAAGTGGGTTGAACCGAATCAAATTAAATGAATCGGATTGACCATTTTACTAATCCTACTTATTTCTATCTACCAAAAGAACATATTTTTCTATTCCTTTTCTATCTTTTTTACTTTTATCATTCTTTTTCAGTCCTCTATTTTACACTTCAATTGGGCAAATATTAAGAGTGTGTTTTTTCGTGTTTGTTGTCGGATTACAAATTTTATTCTCAAACATATAACATCCTAGGAAAGAAATAATCTTTGTATTCTCATGCTTTTATTCCTAAGCAAATAGCTGGATAAGTTGACTCAATGATGTGATAATTAAAACTTTTATTTTTATTTGTTTTCAATTCTTTCACACCCACTTTCAAAAATAAAATAAAAACTCCTATCACTAACTAAATATATCCTTTCAAAAAAAAAAATCAAAAATGTCATTTTCATCATTATATTCCTAAGAATATTATTTCCAAGAATAAGTGACTATTCATCACACAAAATGATCGTACGCGTGAAAGGAAAACTTGCAAGGAATACACAATTATATATGCACAAATTTTTACCAAAAGTGCGAACAGATGAATAATTTAAATATGCAGGACCATACTAAAAAGTATGAACAAATGCTTACCAGATTTTCCATAGGTAATGGAGCAACTACCAACTTAGATACAATTTCCTGATCAAGGTATTGGAATTGAAGAAGGTCAACAGCAAAAGACTATAGGTTGTTTCAAATAAATATAGATGTTTAAGTTCTTATCACAAAAAGAAAAAAAATGAATACAAAAAATACAATCATGAAGGTGGATAAGTATTAAATGCAAATGTGTTTTTAGTCTTATATATATTTCCTTCCAAGATAATTTTAAAAAATTTATAGACTACTATTTTAGAAAGCTTTAGTATTTCCTATATTAAAAGAAAGGGGAAAAAAAATCCGAATCCTCTTACATGCATCTGCCAAATAAGTTTCCTTTACTGAATATAAAAAAATACATTAAATATATCTTTGAAAATTTCAAAATAATAAGTGCTAGATTTGTTGTTGGAATAACCCTTATACTCTCTTTCATTGTATACAAAAAATTACATTGAATATATCTTTAAAATTCTCAAAATATTAAATGCTCATTTTTTTTTTCAGTTTTAGTTTTTACTATAAAAATTACTAACATATATTGTTTGACCTTGTTTTTATAAATATATATAAATAAATAGATAAATAGAAAACAATACAAAGTTAACCGTAATGTGGATCAAATTTAAATCTTTATATTTTTACTACTTCAATCATTTCTCTTTAACTACTAGACTAACTTTAGTGTTTAATTTGATCATATTTAAATATAATAAAAAAATAATATGTAAATAAATAATTTTTTCTCATAAATTAATATTAGCTAAAATCATCTTGTAGATAAGCTAAATGATTCAGCTTCTAAATGATTGATATACATCAATATATGAAAACTGGAGATATTTCTAAATAATTTTGATGTAAGTTAAAAATTATAAAAACTGGCCAGATCTTATAAAATTAAAGTAACTAGTATTTTAGGATGTTTAATATATGAAACTAAAATTTATAATAAAATTTATATAAATAAAATTTATAATTAAATAAATATATATATATATATATATATATATTATATTTAAAGTTTGTATAAATAAATATTTTAAATAAATAAATTAAATAAATATATATATATATATATATATATATTATATTTAAAGTTTGTATAAATAAATATTTTAAATAAATAAATTATATTTTAATTTATGATAAATAATTTATATTATGACATAAAATTATTTTTAATCATTGAAAAATTATCTTAAAAATATTAAAATTTAATTTAGAAATAAATATGATAAATATAAAGTAAAATAGATAAGAAGTTAAAATAATATTTAAAAACTCTATCTTTGAGAAGAAGAAAAAAAATTTATCATGAGCGATAGTTATTTGTGTTTAATAATAGATAATTTATATCATAACACAAGGATACTATTTTAAATTATTAATAATTTATTTTATGATATTAAAATTTAATTTAAAAATAAATATGTTAAATATAAATTTAAATAGTTAAGAAATTAAAAGAATTTTTAAAATTATTCTCGTTGAGCAAAAATACTTATAAATTTAAAAACTCTCACGTAAGATAGCTATTTATCTATAAAATATAGGGGTAAATTTAGATAGAGTTGATATGACCCAATAAAAAGCAAAATCATTTGGATTCTTAGTTAAAAAAATGAATTATTTTTATTTGTCTTGAGTTTATTTTTTGCAAATGCTTGAGTCTTGAATTTAACAAAGTCTAAACATATATTAAATAAAATTATATTTATTTAATTTTCGAGATAATTTCATAATTAATATATTTTAAATAATTGTTGTTTTTAACATTGAAAAATTACAATTATTAATAAAATTTTTAAAAAAATAAGTAATTATCATAGTTTTTAAAAATATAGTTAATTTAAAACACTTAAGTAGAAAACAAGCATAAGCCAACATATATAAGTTTAAATTTAATAAAATTTATTGGGTACAAGAAGATATCGTGTGTCATCAAATATATTAATTATAAAAAAAAATAAAAAAAAAGCTCGAAGCTCTTGACTAGCCCATAGTTGACTAGCAAGCTCAATATTAGAAATCTCTAGAATATTGTTAGTGTTTTCGCTCAACTCTCCGATTTTGTTGGGGTTTGCCAATACAATTTATTTGGTGTAAAATGCCTTTTGAAGCAAAATAAAAAATAAAAAAATTCAAGCCCATTATTGGAGCGAATAGTTTTGATGGTAGTTTCAAATTGGTTTTCAACTAAATGGACACAAATTTGTATATATAATTGACCTTCTACTTTTGATTAGAGTAACATGAACCAAGTATAATGACTATAATCATCAAGAATAGTTAAAAAAAAAATATTTTTGAGCATATACAAAAGTTTTAGTAAAAGGACCTCATATATCCATATGAACTAATTCAAAAATCTTGGAAGCTCTATTGATATAAGGTGAGAAAGGCATTTTTTTTTGTTTAGCCAAATGACAAACATCATAAGTTTCATTTTAGAAACAAAAGAAATATTTGTCTCCAATGTCTTTTTTGATAAAAATGAATTTTCCTTTTGTTAAAAATAATCCTTTACATGGCAATCTTTTTGTTGACCCAATTCCTTCATCCATTGAACCTAGCCTGCCAAACCTTGGCTCATTACCTACGGAGCCCATTGCACCAAACACACCTCAATTAGATCCCAATGAACCTGCAACTACCTCACCATCTTAATCTAATATTGATATCAGTCCAATCTCTTCATCACCATCATCCTCACGAACCAATCACACACCATCATCTCCAATCCAAATCTCTCCTCTTCGTTAATCAACTCGACCACACAAACCATTGCCTAACCTTGTTGATTACCATTTCAATTTCCTTGTCCAAGCATCATCAAGGTATTTGTATCTACTCCACTTTTTCTCACTTATTCACTTGTTTCTTCTTCTCACCACCACTATTTTATGTCATTATCATCTGAGATTGAGCCAACCAGTTTACCAAGAAGCTCTTTTGCACCAATGTTGGAGAGGTACAATGAAAATTTAGTAGGAGGCTTTGGCTCCAAATCAAACATGGCACATCATGGATACTCTTCCAAATGGTTGACCTATTGGGTGTAAATGGGTATACAAAATCAAATAACACCTTGATGGTAGTGTGGAACGATACAAGGCACAACTTGTGGCCAAATGATTTACTTAGATTGAAGATATTGATTATTTGAAACTTTTCCCCTACTGCAAAGATTGTAACCATATGAGTTATCCTTGCGTTAGCTTCTGTTAATCATTGGAAACTTCAACAAATCGATGCCAACAATGCTTTCCTTCATGGAGATCTTACAAAAGAAGTTTATATGGTCCTCCTCCCTAGAGTCACTAACACACACTCTTCTCAATGTTGCAAAATTCTCAAATCTCTATATGGTTTGAAGCAAGCTTGTCGAACATGGTATGAAAAGTTGCATGTTCTCCTTGTGTCCTATGGATATCACCAGGCTCATGTTAATCATAACCTATTTTTCAAAACCAAACAATCTAGTTTCACAGCTTTGATTGTTTATGTTGACATTATTTTGACTATTAATTCTTTTGAAGAACTAAACCACATGAAGCAAATCCTTCACTCTTATTTTTGCATAAAGGATCTTGACATCTTGAAATACTTCTTAGGGATGGAAGTATCACATTTTGCTATAGGGATCTCACTATATCAACCCACATATTGTCTGGACTTGCTCAATAATGTTGCTTGGGGAACTTATGTTGACTCGTGCAGGTCCATTATAGGGTATTGCTTCTTCCTTAGTAACTCCTTGATCTTTTGGAAGATAAAGAAGCAAAACACAATTTCTTGTTCATCTTTTGAAGCTAAGTATCGAGCTCTTACCTCAACCACACACTACAAAAAAAATTATTATTATCTACAGAATATTACCTATGAAATTTTTTATGTAGATAATGTTTAGTTATCTATGAAAGGTATTGTTTCTTCCTTAGTAACTCCTTGATCTTTTGGAAGATAAAAAAGCAAAACACAATTTCTTGTTCATCTTTTGAAGCTAAGTATCGAGCTCTTACCTCAACCACACATGTGAGTTAAATGACTCACTTAGCTCCTCAAAGATCTCCATGTCACTTGTTCTCACCTTGTTGTGTTATATTGTGATAATCAAAGTGTTATCCACACAGCCGCCAATCATGTGTTTCATGAACAGACCAAACACGTCGACATTGACTATCGTATTGTTCATGAAAAGGCCCAACAAGGATTAATGCGCTTGTTCCTCGTCTCATCCTCTAATCATCTAGTAGACATCTTCACTAAAGCTTTTTTACCTAAATTATTTATCAACAATATATCCACGTTGGAGCTAGTTGACATTTTCCTCCCTCCAACTTGTGGAGGTATATCATATAAGAAGCCCAAAGCTATAGATACCATCCCACAAATGATCAACAAGCCCAAGATTAAAAGTCTCTATAATATTGTTGTGTTGTGTATTTTTCATGTATGTTGTTTTTTATTTGTTTGATGGCTACAATTGTTAAGTGTGTATTTTTTGCTTTTCGGTGTTATCCTTTGGTGAGTTGTACATGTTGGTTATATATTTCCATGTGTATTGCCAATGATTAATCAATCAAGAAAGAAAGGTTTTCACCAATATTGTCTAGTCTTTGCCACTCTTTCTTTAATATCCAATATTGTCTAGTTTGTATATCAACCATTGGACTTTTAGTTGTTTAGATAAAATAGTAAGTACAATTAAAAAAAAAAAGACATCATAAATTATTCTAGGTTTCTCTTTTAGGAAATAATAATGCAAGAACACAAAGGAAATGAGGTAAATTAAATGAGAAAAATATTGACATTAGGTTTCATTCAATTTCATACAAAATTTCTTATATGAGTACTAATTCAACTTGATTTTCTCTTTCTATACCAAATTCGCAAATATTATTTAAATCTTAATTGCTTAGGAATTAAACCTTTATCCCAAATTAAAAATCGAATTTCATAGTTAAAATAAATAAATATTAGAATAGAATTATCAAATGATAGTAAGTGGCCAACGATTATTCATACCTAAATGCCTCAAATCACATCTAAGATGAATTTCTATTTACAAAATAGATATATAAAAAAATCATTCTAAAGGTGATCAAATCTAGAAAAGTATTGGATACAAAAAATACAAACACAAAGAAAAAAAACTAATTTTTCGTTAATTACTCAAATTTGAGATTCATGAATTATACTTTAATTCACATGAAAAAGAAAGTTCAGCTAAATATTGAGAAGAAAAAAAAAAGAAATTCATTGAAGAGGTATGAACTTTCATCATGTAATTAAAAAATAAAAAATATATAGCAAAGTTGGTTCCAATCCTAACTTAGCTTTTAGACTAGATTAACCTAATTTTGAAGCTAACTTTTGTTTTTTGGATGATACCTAATTGCCGCACCTACAAGTGTCTTTAGACTCATCGGGCTGAGGCCCAGTTATATCATCATAAAAATGGATCGTTCCTATAATGCAAATGAGAACAAATAAAAAATCACTTGTTGTTTCTTTTCAACTATTCTAATTTTTTTTTTATTTGGTAATACAAGAACCATTGGAAGTATAGTTTCTATGCACATGATCCTCATGTACGTAATCTTACACATACCAAGTTAACATGGCATCATGAAGCCACATGCTTGACATTTATAGCTAAAAAAATGAGTAAAAATGGGACTTGGCATCTGAATGGTGATAATTAGCCATCATGCATGTGTCATTGAGCATTAAGTTGATGTTGATGTTGATGATGAGGTTGCTTAGATTGGTCATATTCTACATGTTCATTTTTGGGTGGTTCCACGTGTGAGGCAGTGATTGGGATGTTCACTTGCCCATGTGGCATCATGTCTGGCATGTCAGGTCCCACCATGTCATGCTGCATGTGAGGATACAAGGTGTACCCTTGAGGCCATGCTTGAAGGTTCCCATCGCTTGGATTTGACACGTGGCACTCTCCCATGCCTCGTGGATCAACATTTGAACTTGTTCCTTGGGAGAATGAACCATACACGGTAGAAGACAAGTCCCTGAACATATATCATCATCATACAGCGTTTTACTATACACTAACCATGTTAGATAGAGTCGTCAAAATGAGTTTTGACCTACCTTTTAGATTGGGTTAAAATAAATAAATAAAAAATTTATAATAGATCATAAAATGTAATCTGGCCAACTTTTGACTTAGCTCATTCAGGTTGAATTCGTGGTTCACTTATACTTCTATCAATCCAATTTATTTAACCATTTATTATTATATATGTATTGTTTTAATAAGATGTCATTATTTTTTATAAATAAAGATAAAGTTAATATTAAATAATATGAAATTACTATAAATTTATTTACTCAAACTTTTAATGAAATTTAATATTGATGAATAATCACTCTCATGAAAGGATTTTTATTTTTATTTTTTGATTATTTAAAGTTGTATACTTTCTAATTTAAATTTAATGTTATATGCATGATATTTAGTTTGACAATTTTTACTTTAAATTAGATATTATTTTAAATTAATTTTTTTTAAATTAGGTGGGTTGGTGGGCCAACCTATTTAGCCCACCAACCCGTGATAGGCTGGGCTAGATTAGAAAATTTTGAAATTTAAGATTGGTAAGTCAGGTTGGGTCAACTCACTTAAAAAATAGGTTCAGGTGAGTCGGGTTAATCGGACCGGATTGACCTATTTTGATAACTCTAATATTAAATAGATTTTTTTTTTCTTTTTCTTCTATACAAAATGATTTCGATGTTATTATCGGAAAGTATACCTGAGAGGATCTAAAGGAGCAGATGCATCAAATATTTGGGCATGGTTCTGACTCCCATCCTGCAACCAACCTACATTCTCGAAAGAGGTTGGTATTCCCTGCCACAATTATATACTTCTAATTAATTTAAATAATACATGCACAAAGCATATATGAAATTTATTTAAGTAGTATAAGGATTCTTATATAGTAAACTAATTAAAATTATTTTATATATGAATTTTAAAGTCGTTATTACAAAATTTAATAATCTTATTTTATTATTTTTTACAATAATTTATAATTAGATGATAGTATAAAATAAATAAAAAAAATTACACCAACAGTACATTTAATTAAATTCTTTATATAATAAAAAAAGCTTTAATTGCTATATACTATTAAAGTAAAATTTTACACAGATAATAAGTAAATAAATAAAATCACCCTTAAAATAATTTTGAGATAACTATTATAAAATTTAATAATTTTTATTATATATAGTGATTTTTAATCTAAAGATTTATACTATTCGTACATTCTTATTGAATGTATAAAATAATTACTTTATTTTTTTGGTAATGAAGAACTAATTTTATACGAGAATGAGGAGAAAATATATTAACAATATATAATTATATATAAATGATTAAAATTAAATATTCATTATAATTACATGGCCACATAACTTTGTTTAAAAAAAAACTTTATATTCTGAACTTATTTATTGTATAATTTAATGGTTACCTGAATACCAGATGGATCATATGTAGATAGATGGTTGCTCAACAAATATTCCTGCAACCACATGTAAAGATGTTCATTTTCAAATAATAAATCAAATAATAGAAAAATGCAATATATATATATATATATC